AATACCCTTCACAGATGCATTTTTTATAGCATAAAATGGTATACACCGACCTCTAATTCGATTTGATGGGTCAGTTTGAGCACCTTCTCGTGCAGAAAATAACGTGTGCAAAAATTCAGGCCGATATCTCAAAAAGTTAAGGACTTGTACGCATATATAAAGACAGCAGGTTGGACGGAAGGCTAAATAGACCATACTCTTCATGCTGATCATATATTTATATTTTATAGGATCTCCGATGTATTCTTCTAGATTTTACAAATTTCGTGACCAATTTAATATGCCCTGTTCAGGGTAAAAATAGTTCACTCTGCTGCGCTGCCTTCTGCGTAGTTGCCGGGGCATGATGTAGCATTCATTTTATTCTATTTTTTTGCGCATTGAATGAGTTAAATGTGGCACGAAACATTTTAATTATTTTAAACGTTTTATTGCGGCAAAGAATAGCTCAATACGCACACACATATACATTTATATATAAAAGCATAAACTTAGTTTATGACATGCCTATTTAATAGTGCAAACAAAAGGAGTAGAAGTTGTAAAAAATGAAAGGCAAGCAACTAGCTGCCTGCATTTGTGACGACGAGACAAAAGTGCCAAGATAGTGTCGCATACACAATGAAGTACTCGAAACACACACACACGTGCAGACGCAAACGCATCAATCTACTACGTTGCAAACAAAGATTTAATGCCATAGTAAAAGACAAAAGCTTTTGAGTACTAAATTTAGCTGTGTGCGCGCGTATTGAGCGAAGTCCTTTCAACAGGCGTTTGCGGCCGGAAATGAGGCACACGAAAATACACAGCAACAAACATATACATAGCTATACTTAAATACCACATTAAAGCTGTGACACGAAGCGGTTGTGTGTAGTTTGAGGCGCGCGTCTGCGTTAAGCGTAGGAAATCATATCTTTCCGTCCACATCAAAAATCATAATTACGCCATTTACGTTACTATGGCGCAGCACCCTTCATGAAAACGCAATTGAAGCCTTCACCCTGTCCCGCCTTTGTTCCGAGCCTAAACAAAGATATGCTTTGGTACACAGAAAAAAAAATCACTTTACATTAACTTCTGAGTATATTTGTCTACTAATGCGTTTAGTGCGTAGAAATAGACCTTGAAGTTTTTAGATTATTTAGAGTTTGTATGGAGGCATTGTTATTTATAACGCAGGGTTTTGACAACTGTTTTAAAGCTCGAATTTTTGCTTTAAAAATAACTTCAAGTGGAAATATTTTTTTAACTACAAGCGAGTCCCGCTTTATTAATTTTTTGCTTAGCCACTTTTCATCAGAAGTTGCTAGGAAATCATCATGACTTGTCTGAACCAAGATAGCAACAAGCTAAGAAAATGTCATTCCATATTAATCGATGTTTGGCAGTGCTAGACGATGCCAACATTTTTATATAAAACAGGCTAATATATACTTTTTAGTGATACAATAGAAGCTCAGCAACAAATGTTAAAATTAAACTGAAGGGAAATGAATAATTATCCGTTCTTATCACCAGCAGCAAGACTCTGATTTCTGTTAAAAAACATACGAAAGACAGTATATATGATGCCAAAAACTCTATAGGTATTAAATTATTTTAATCAGAAAACAAAAACAAGAGACCAGTAGACTTTTCTACCTTAGCAGCTGTGGTGTTTGAAATAAAATATTTCGGCTTTGTTATTAACTCTATGTTTGAGTCCGGTTAGCATACGCAATACAACTGAGAAAACTAACCTTTAGGCTAACAAAAAGTCTTCAGAACTTCAGTTTTAATGATGACAAAGTAACATGGAAACAATTTTGGTATCCAGTGAACTATACTGTAAACTCTAACGCCCAAGTTCCTTAATCAGTGCTGAGCTGTACTAGCTGTAATGGATGCTAATATATGGCATTAAGTTTTATAGAGCTTGCGAACGAAAAGTCTACATTGATATCAAGTATGTTGATTTGGGAGTTGATATGGACCCTAAGCTTAATTTTAGTCTTCATATTGATACCATGGTCTTGAAAGCAAAAGCTGTCCTCAGTTTTGTTGAACGTTGGTGTAAAGAATTTGGAGATCCGTATATTACTAAAACACTTAATACAACTTTGGTTAGGCCTATATTTGAATATGGCTCTGTTGTACCCTTAGCGCATTTCCGATGGGATTCTAGGGTAAGTCTAAGTCCATACACTAGTCGTAAACTTATTAATCTACCTACACTTTCTAGTCGTAGGGAAATGCTTGGCATAATATTCTTAGTGAAAATCTTGAATGGAACAGTTTGCAGTTCTTTTCGCCTGTCTAAAATTAAATTTAAAATCCCGGTTAGATTTTCGAAGCAGTTTAGAGCTTTATTGTTATAATCCTGTAGATCAAATTGCGCACTAAACGAACCATTCCACCGTATATGTCATGATTTTAATTCTTATTCCCGCATATTTGATTTATCTGACTCACTTTTTAAAATTTTAAAGACTTTATTGTTTCCTCTTAATAAATGAAAATGTATTAATTTATTATATCGTAGCTTTAAATCTTAGCTGTTGAAATTTTTGTTTCTATAGCTGAGCAGTTTTAGATCTCAACACTTAAAAAACTCTCTTGCATTATCTGACTCGGCTAATTCCGCATGTATGCGGACTGCGCCCCTCGTGTCGGTAAATTATTATTATTATTATTATTATAAAATGGTGATATCTTATGGCTTCTTCAAGCAATCACGATTAGGTTAAATTATGTTAGATGGCCGATTGCCCAAGATGGTAGAGGGAATACACTTGAACCGTTTTATATAGTACTTTGTGAAGCCAGATAAAGACGCCCTTCACTTGGATAGTAACTTTCGACAAAGCGCCTTGAACCTATCACAAATCTGGATGTCTAAAAGTATCTGATCCGGAGCACTTTAGCCTTGATCTGAAAAAAGCGAGACATTGAAGAATGAAATTTTGATTTGAATATATCTCATCTTCTTGAAAACTGCCTATGAAAATGACATCCGGTAAAATTTTCACTCATACCGCAGGAATTTTGATCAGACAGTGTCTAGTTAGAACTTCTAAACTATAGAAAGGTGAACTCTCCTGAAGACGAAGAGCTCACTAAACCTTTTAACCTCTACACCTTGCGAATTGTACAGTTAAAAGTAACGGACCAGCATTTATCGAGCTCACCTGCAGCCCAACCATTCAGTAATAAACCGCAGAAAGCAAGCGGAGCTCCTATCCATTCCTATTTTGCAGCTAGTGAGACTGAACTGTCCTGTGACCTAGTGAGCTCATCAGCTTGGCATTTTCTTACCACTCCGCTGTAATCATGCACCTAAACCAGTTTAATCATAAAGTAAAGCTACCGTGTTACCTATCATTAATCTTGTTGAGGTTGTATGAGACAAACGCTGACTTTTTCATGCTGTTAACGATATACATATATGTAATTTCTCACTGGCAAAAGCGAAATTTTCCTTCATACAAGTAAGAGTACAGCGAGTACTTTCATAGCTTTGGCGCTTGCAATTGGTCATTTTATTGCCCACTTACGTTCAAAAATCAAACAAGCTTGCTAAGTAATGAGATCAACAGTAAACCTGCACAGAGATTCCAGTTAAAAAAGAGTGTAAATATAATATTATTACTCAATAAATTATCGCTTCAACTTTAACAAAAGTGTAGTAAATTCTTGGAATCTTGGTGACATTTGATACCTTCGCAGTGCTGTCAATAAAAACTCTGCAAATACAATTTAAAATTTAATTTCCATCGTAGGTTTCGAGGAAATACTGCAAACTTAAGGGTTGACCACAATATCCTTTTATTAACCACATCAAGAGTGCGCGAAATGCTTCATTATAAACAGGAAATTATGCCACCCAGTGGTAAGCGTGAACAGGAACAAATATCATGTACATACTTGTATATATACATACTATATAACCTATATATGTTTATGGAGTATGTAAACAAATATGTACATACGTACATATGTATTTAATATTTTATATATAGTAGTAAGTATGAAATTAATTCAAGCCGCGTGACAAAGCGACAGTTGACGTATGGAGATCTTTCGCAACGCTACAACTACCATTGTAATGCATATACTTATATTATATATATGTGTAATATATACGCGAGTACCTTGAAGTTTGCTGTCAAGTCCTCAAAGTGTAGAAAATTGAATTCAGCCCTCGAAGGAAGCACAGTACTTTCCAGGAAATACGCACAACATATCGCTCGGAGACATAATAATTCCATAGCCTTCAAAAAAGATGAAAATGTTTGCGATAAAAAATGGGGGAAATTAAAAAATGAATATGAAATTGAAAGTGAAAGTGAAGCGAATGTGATTCGCTGCGGAACTAAATGCTGAAATATGGCAAATGGTAGCACAAACAGAACACAGCCGAAAATTAAAAAAGACGCAACTGTCATAGAAAGTATCTTAAAGTGACAGCTGCTGGACAGAAAGCGTATATTATTATATGTTGATCTTCCGTGTATATTTGGGCCCAAAGGTGGGGTGTCACGCTATAATACGTGTATTTAATTTCATAAAAGAAAAGTAAGATATTGATGTGTGTTTATTTGAGAAGGAAGAACGGAGAGTGAGAGAGTGTGTTTGACCAGGTGCAAGGCGGAAGTGGTTTGCGAGAAGATTACTGGTGTTGGGTGGGTAGCTTAACGGTAAACTGGATTTTCAGAAATATTAAAAATTATAAGCTATGCCGCTGGGCGAGTCACAATACGAAATAGCGTGAGGAAATAATTTACTAAAAAAAAAAATTATAAATAACAAAAAAATGATAAAAAGTAAATAACATAAAAAATAATTTAAATATACTCAAATAATAATTAATTACTTTATAAGTAATCATGACACGCGCATTATCGCACTTACACCACAGCAATTTAACCATTTTAACGCTTTCGATATACTATTCCTTCACTTGCAGTACCGGCCGTGGGAAATTTCACAGATGAGTCTGAGCAACGTGCCACGCTGCCACAGGACACGCGCGAATATCCATTACAAAGTAATGACTATCATCATGGACAAAAGAATGGTCTGGGCAAGATGGGCACCATGAATGGCGGCGGCGGCAGCGGCATGAATGACGGCGGTATGGGTGCGGCGGCGGGCGCTGGCCTCGGCTACAACAATGGACCGCAATGTAAGTGACACTGAAATTATAAAAACAACAATTAGTGAGGGAGAAAAGTGGAAAAATTAGCAGCAGGCAGTTACAGTAGTTAATGATAAAGTAAAGTGCAAAGAAAGAAAAAATAAACAAATGAAAAAGGTGCAGTTGGTTGCAAGAGTTAAAAAGCATTTTCATATAACAATTAAGTGCGCGCTTGGCAAATAATTGAAAACATTATTTTCCCTTTAAATATTTATCTTTAATTTAATGACATGAAAGGGTGGCGCAAATTGCAAACAACTACATGCCAACATATTGTACATACATATGTATATATATAATTTCAATAAACTCACCATATTATATATACAGTATATTTGTCTGCATATTTCCCGCCGCTCCGCAAACACCTAGCTGCTGCTTTCATTTACTACACACATACATATATTTACATATTTATAAAACTGCATGAACAATTTTCCATTTATTTGCCACAGTAATTGCCCCACGTCCCATCGATCAGGAACCATCGGAGAAATTCTCAATTGGTATTGTTATTGTTATTCTAACGGTGATAATTATTTTCCTCGTTGGCGCCATATTCTGCATTGTGACGCGTACGAAGCGTGCACGCGGCAGCAATGTCCTGGACGCATTCCAATATAGCTTCAATCCGAACACATTGGGCGGCAATGTGGATAAACATCGACCCAATGGCGGTGGCATTAAGGTAAGTGCTATGCACAGTGCTCACGTGTGCACATTTATACACTATTAACATACTGGTATGCCATACATACAACATAGTGTTTCTACATACTTATATATTCGTATTTGTGGCTCAATAGTTTGATTGGAACTCAATTGACTTTATTGCGGTCGATTTTGTAGCGTTTGTTTTATTGGAATGCGGTCATTTGATTTGATTTAATTTAATTTATTTATTTAATTTTATAAAATGTAAATCAAAATAATTCACGTAAGTTAATTTAGATTAACTCGATTTCAAAAAATTAGTTAATTAATTAACCAGTAATTAACTTTAATTAAAAATTTTTCTAATTAAGTTATAGTTAGGTCAACTAAATTAAATTAAACTACGGCTAATTTTATTCAGATTTAAATAAATTTAATTGATTTTAAATAAGACACGATAAATTAAAAAAATATATGTAAACTTAATTGAAATATATTATATTAAACTAAATTAAGCGATATTATATTTATTTAAATTAAATTAATTAAAATTAAGTTGAAATTAATTAAATTTAATTGCATTCACAAATTTCATTAGATTACAATTATTCAGACGAACTCAAATTAAAACAATTAAAAAATTGTTTATTTTAATTGAATTATAATTAATTAAAATTACTAAAAAAAATTAAATAATACGAAATCAAATTTTATTAAAATTAAATAATTAAATGACATGAAAAAAATAAATCAAGCTAAATTAAATTTATTTGATTAAAAATACATTAAATTAAATTGAAGCGCATAAAAAATTTAATTAAATTTAATTTAAATTGGATTGAAATGAACAATTTATTTGAAACAATTTAAAAATTTTAACAAATTAATTTAATTTGATTGACTTAAAAGAAATGACTGGAACTTAATTGATTTAAAATAAATTGATTAATATTATGAAATTAACTAACTTGAACTGAATTAAATAAAGTTAAATTTAATTAAATTAAAATGGCTCAGATTAAATTCAATTAAAAATAATTAAATAATCAATAAATTTAGATTGACCTTGATAAATTTTATTTGAATTAAAATAAATTAAATTAAGTTAAAGTTAGACAAATTTAACTAGATTTAATTTCAATTGGATTGAATCCCATTGACATGTAATTGCATTGAATGAAATTAAAATACATTTTAACTAAATTATGTAAAATTTAACTAAATTCAATAACTTTGAAATCATTGAACTCATTTCCTTTAATTTAAACTATATGATATAAATTAAAAATATATAAATAATTTAATTAAATTGAGCTAAATTATTTAAATTTGCAATAAACTAGTTTAATTTATTGCAGTTAGATTTCTTTTTCACCGTTTTTTTTACTAACTAAACTTAATATTTTTATTTAACTTTTAAGTTGTGTTTGTTTTATTATTAGGTTTCAATTTTATTTATATTTAAATATCTTATAATTATACCCTAAACATCATGTTTGCCACAAAAATTTTAGCACCCATAAATAAACAACCGAGGTTGTGTATAAATGATCAGCGTGACGAGCTGAGTCTACTTTATTTAGCCAAGTCCGTCTGTCTGTCTGCATATACGCGAACTACGCTCTTAGATTTTTAGATATTGATCTGAAATTTTGCACTCATCCTTTTCTCACCAAGGAACTGCTAATTTAACGAAACTGGCAAAATCGGATCACTGTCAGTTATATGTAGCTGCCATACAGACTAATCTATCAAAATCAAGTACTTGTATTGAAAACTTTTTTTATTTGGCAAGATATCTTCACGAACTTTGACATAGATTATTGTCCTAGACAATATTACAATAACTGAGCATAGTGTTCAGATCAGACTACTATAACATATAGCTGCCATACAAACTGACCGATCAAAATCAAGTTCGTGTATGAATTTTTTTTATTTATAAAGGGTATTTAGATTATTTGCAACCGACTATAATGTTTTTGTTTTGTTTCTTTTATTTTTAAAGTTATTTTATTTAATCTCAATATTTTTGTGTAAGTAAACTTTTTGCGTTTACATACATTTTATTCTACTTTGCTCCATTTAATTTCATACTATTTGTTTTATTATTATTTTTATCTAACACTCTGTTCCTGGTACTTCATACGGCTTCCTGTCCCATTTTATTTCTATGTTCTATTTTCTTTATTACCACTCTTCTTGCGCTAGTTATTAAGTAGCGCTTTTAGTTGTGAGCACTCGTGGTGGCTCGTATATGACTAGCGCTTGCTACCCTTACACAGTTTGACGCTTCGCAGCAAAGAGTATACTTTACTTTAATGCATTTTAGTGGCTTTATAGCGTTAATTTTTTTTCTTTCCCTATGCTCCACGTTGCACTACTTAAGCATTGTTCGCAGGATTAAGCACTGCATTAGCTTCAGAGTCGAAAGTTAACTAATGACAATATTGTTAAAGTGAAAAATGACAACAAAAAAGTGTGTAAAGTTAGAATAACGCTTGAGAATTTTTATGACAGATAGCAATTGTTGGAGAGATTAGCTGCTGGCGCATTGATTGACTGCATTCTTGCGCTAATTCTAATTCTTTGCTGAGGCTTGGAAGCATTTGTTAAACATTCCTGTTGACAACTGAGGTTGAAATGTTTATTTAATTAATACTGTCTATATATACTATAATCACTATGAAAATGTTTCTAGAGAGGTAGAGCTTGCGGTAGGTTAGATTAGGTTATGTTGAAAGTTTTATCCAAAAACGTATCCCACATGGAGAGCTGAGAACCCCAGTCCATTGTAAGACCATAATGCTTCTAGTATTGATCGAAAATTCTGATAAAAATCGACAAAGCGCTTTGAACCTGCCACAAATTTGTTGAGGCGACAGATATCAATTAGATATCAGCTGACATATAGTAAATAGAGCGCAATAGTTTTGAGCAGCCTTTAAAGTTTTAATGTACTATTTATTTTTTTTAAACTAAAATATTTTGTTTTATAGAAAATATTTCTTATTTTATCTACAATTTTTTAAAATAATTTTTTTTTCCAGATTTTATTGATTTCTCTGCCTTATTTTAATTTTAAGTTCCTCAAAAATATTATTACATAAAATTATAATTTACCTTTTATTTACAAAACTTTTTAATATCATCTTTCTCTTGCTCTTTCTTACTCCACACAGGCCAGCGTCGATGATAATGACTCGATTGGCAAGAATAGTCTCTATCACGAACCTTTTAACGTGAATATGTATACCAGCGGCGTCAACGGATACGCGGCCGTAAATGATTTACAATGTAATATGACGCCCGACTATACAGGTATGTACAGCTAATATAAGCGATAATATATAACTGCTAGCACATAAGCAGAACAACAACTACAAATGTAGATACAACATAAACTAAAAGGCAAAAGTATAGTGTAAACAGCAGGAAAATTGTAGAACCACAAGCACCACAATTGGGTTGCTTGGTCGGTTACTTTGGTGGAGTAATAAGTGGTCAAAACAAGTGATGGGGGACTTCGAAATGTTAGTGCTGACACATTTCGAAAAAGGGTGGAAATATTGAAAGTAAAGTAGAGTAAAGTGCGGAAAATAATTAAATGGAAATGGTAAAGAATGCGAAAGGCAAAAGTGGCAGTGGTAATGGCAGCACGCTCCAGCTGGGGAAGCCGCAAAGTGCGTTAATAAGGTGTTGGGTTGGCATATAACTACAAATAAATATGTAAATAATATATGTATATAATATAACGTTGGGATGTGAGTTTACGTATTTATAGGCAATTTTTAGTATTAGGGTTGCCGTTAAAACATATAAAATATTAATATATATATAATATTATTTGTAAATTTTTTTAGATATTTTTATTGACATTATTATACCATTCAATGTTCAATAATCCATAAATGAGATTTCTGGGAAACCAAAAACTAATTGGTAACTCTTCCTGAAATGCCAAAGTGCAATTCGCAACTCTGGAGATGGCGTGGGGTCGAGAGTAGTCAAATAATGTGAATTTTCAAGCTCTCCTAAGTATTAAAACCAGTTCTGGTATTTAGAGAGTGTGCCGTAAACTATATGGCTTAGTTAAAGGTTAAGTCAGGTTAAATGGGCGAGCTTAATAGCGACTTGGACAGCTAAAGCCTATAAGTTAATCATAAATATCCTCCTAAATCGACACAGCGCCTGCTAAGTGCACGTGAGGTCCATAGTTCTTGTACAAGAACGCAAGGTGACAACGGAGATCCAACTCGTTTGCAGTTTGCAGATATTCGGCTACGGCATTCGGCTTCTGAACATTTGTTTCTAAAAATGTTGGGGAACTTAGAAGAAATGAGAGCGGGTTCTTTTTGCATACTCGCTGAATCTAGAAAGCGGTACTTGAGTTGACCTTGCCTCACAATGTTAAAGCGTGAAAGAGTTTCCGGCGGGTGGCAACCATATAAAAACTTCAACAACATAAAATCCATCGTTTTTCTAATTTTTCAAACACATTGGCAACCCATCTTTTCTAATTGTATGAGCGAGAGGTGGAAAGCGCCAATATAAAACAAAGTAAACTTGAATCTATGTACGGAAGTAACTTCATATACCTTTAAGACGCTACTGGTACCTTGCAGAATAAATGACTAAGCACAATAAATTCCCCACCTTGCGCCAAAAGCGTACCGAGCGTTTTTGCTAACTTGTAAACTATTTACTCATCTTTATTTTGTTCCTTTCTTTTCATCCCTTACCATTCAATTCACTTTTCACCTTTATTCGCACCTTTACTAAATCCGAGCCTTCTTGCGTCTTTTTGCAGATGTACCCGAAGGCGGCTATGCCGTGCCACACATGCAGGATTACATGCCTGCCACAAAGATGTCCATGTCCGGCGGCGGTGTTGTCGGCGGTTATGTGAATGTGCGACGTACACCACCACCGCCGTTAAGCGCGATTTTCCCCCGACCACCTTCGGTGCCGCCGCCACCGATGGAGAAGTACTATGCCACCACAGCGATATTCAAGCCAATCAAGGGCCCCTCGGGCGGCAGCAACTGCGGCACAGTGGGCAGCAATAGTGGCGGTGGCAGCAGCACACATAAATCCGGCAGCAGTGTGGGCAAGTGTGGCAGCAATAGCGGCATCAGCAGCAGCAGTGAACACAATAATTACGATGACGGTATGGGCACCATGAATTCACAATCGACGGCGCCGATGTTGAATGCCTACAATGGTGGCGGCGGCGCCGGTGGTGGCGCTAATGGTGGAGTAGGTGTTGGCATTGACTCAATGCAATTTCAGCGCGCTAGAACCTATAACTTCCGCAGTTATCCAGACAATCTTTAGTTTGAAACATTGACGTTGCGCGGTGGTGTGAGTGGCGAAGGTGACAGTGGCGGCAGCGGCGGCGGAGTGAATATTGACAGCGTTGACGTTGATGCTGAGGTGGGCGGCATAAATGGTGGTGTTGGTATGTTGAATGGGAGTAACCGCTTGGAATGTGTGAGCGGTAGTGTTGGCGGTGGTCAGAAATATATGCGTACAGGTTTGATCAGCACAATGCCGAAGAAACAACAGTTGCAGCAGCAACAAAAACAACAACACCTTGGCATCGGCGGCACAATGTTGGCAACAACGAAGCCCAAGTACAGTCTAACGTTGCTCAATGTGAAAAATCATCAACACAATAACAATAATAGCAGCAATATTAATAATAATAACAACAACAACAATGGCAGCATGGGTAGCGCTGTTGGCAACTGTCAGTTGCATCCGCACCGCAAATCACCACATCCGCATCTACAGCCGCAATACGCTTACTACCAGCAACAACAGCAACAACAACAACAACAGCAGTTGCTGCAACATCAGCACTTACCACAAAGCAAACGTGAACAGCAGCGGCAACAATTGTCACAATCATACTATCACCCGCCACCACCGCCACGTCATCAGTTACGTGTTTTGCGGCTATCGTCGGCACCCACAGGCGCGCCCGAAGTCACAACAGCAAAAGTAACAGCAGCACGACGTGCTGATAGCGGCGTTGTTCTTGGTAGTGGTGGGGGTGCTGGTGATAGAAGTAGCGGTGAATTCACATCACGCAACTCTACAAACCTAGAGCAGTCGCTCGCACCAACCACGCCCACAGCTGCAACAACAACACCAAATACCAACGATTGTAATAAACATTTAGTTGGTGTAAATACGTTGCAGTGTGATGATAATAGTAGTGATGATGCATCGGTAACACCGGCACGAGATACAGCTGCCGCAACACTGGCAACAAAAACAGCAACAATAGCAAAAGCAACGACGCCTATAGCTGAAACACCGACCGCGGGCGCAATGTCAAATGTTTTACATGGTGGTAAAGAGCAACAACAACAACAATTATTACAATTACAACAACAAAAAGCAAACAGGCTGTGGTATCATTGATGAAAAACCAATAGATTTGAGGTAAATTGCATATACATATGTTTGTTTGTGTATAAAATAATTAGTTCCAAACATTTTATAGCTTATTTCATTTTTTTTTCTGAGCACATTAATTGCCGTTACAGTAGTTCCCCAAACCGCTATTTTAGTTAACACTGTATAGTATTTTCTAAATGTTTTCCTTTTTGGCAAGTGTTCTGAACCCCTATACCGAAAAGGCACTAATGTTCTGTGATCTATTGAGGATCAAGTGAACGCTTATGAAAAACAAGCTTTGTAAAATAACTCACGAATATTTTATTATATTTTATTGTTCTAGTATTTTCTCAAAAGCATTAAAGCATAATTCTTAGTCCTGCCATAAGTTCTGTTACAATTTCAGTCCGTTATAAAAATTAAACTATAATACATTATTGAATATAGTTAATTTTATTTAATACTCCATATGCAAGATGAAAAATGCACAAACTTTTGTTTAAAAGGGCCACCTTTTGCTTTTACTCAAAAGCAGCACGTACAGTTTCGAACCAAACAACACTGTTCGAACAAAATATTTTTTGAGACTTTTCAAATTTCTATAGGGTATTCCACAAACAATGTTCTCCAACTGTTACACAAACTGTAGTCTTATGGATCTAGGCATCCAGAATTTCAATAATCTGCAGCTATGAAACCAGAAGTATTGCTTGGGATTTTGCTGCAGCAGAATCTTCCTGGAAGATTCAATGCTCTCCGTCGATAAGAGTATTGCTTAAGTGTCTTACCACGTCTTCCAAGATTTGCTGCGGGTACACTTTTGTCCCAGTTTTAAGCTATAAGCTAGCAAAATTGAAGAGATTTAACGACGTTACAGGGGCTTCAGCTGGATGGTGACCATGCTTTACAATTGGAATACTATTTTTTAAATCGTTGAAGGTTTATGCGAAGATTTTCTCATTTTGCTTATTAAAAACTTCTTCAGCAGTGAAATTTTTTTCATCTATTAGAAGTTACTATCATGGTCGTTAATTGCGTGCCACTTGTTTGTGCCTAGTTTGCTTCAAGCGCGTTGTCAGCTCATCTTACCAGTTGACCGACGGTAGGCTTTCATGTGATGATCATCTCTTAGAAATCTTGGCATTGATCTGGTCGATGTATCTATTTCTTTTGACATAATTTTCTGTTTTCTAAAAGGATTTTTGCAAATGCGTTTGGGAACAATTATTATGGCTGACATCGGAAGATGATTAGGAACCTTAAATACTACCTTTGTAGTTTTTTATAATTTATAATTGATGATAAAACATTTGTAAGAAATATTTTGTTAAGGATTATTATAAATACAATCGGTTCAACAAAATCTCATAGATACTTACTATATAAGTGGAAGTTAATATTCTCTTCTATTTCTATTCTATTCTATACTCTTATAAGCGATCTAGTGTGAAATCAGTAACCTTAAGCTATAACTGAAGAATAAGGATACCTTTAAGACGTTTCTTTTTAAGAAAATGTGTACAACTTAAGAATTTACACGCTTTGTTTTGCTATCTCCCTACTTTCAGCGCTTATCTCTCTTTCTAAGCAAAGGCAGCAGATTGAAAGCAATACGCCAGTGAATTCTACGATTAGTACATAGCACAGACAGATAGACAGTTCTTTTGAAACAACACATACCATAGATCCAAAAAGGTGGCAGTTAATGTAAAGGATGCACAGAAAACATAGCTACAACAACAAAACTCCTGTAAGTTATAAGCCGAAACCGACGAGAAAACTTGAAGACACCGACAAAGAAAAGAAAAAAATAGAAAACAACTAACCGCACTGCAGTAACGAAAAAAGTAGGTACAACAACAAAGCAACAAATAATGAAAGTGCGTGCAAAAAGCGGAAAAGAAAACTTTGTAGAGAACAAACGCCCACAGAACAAAAAAAAAAATATAATCGAAAAACATACACACAAGCAAATATGTAGTTCAAAACCGTTAGAAACCCAAAATCACCAGCAAGATAAAAATAACAAGAAAACGAAAAAGTAAGGTTAGAAGCGCAAAAGTGAATTAAAACTGAAATGCCAACGAAATTGAAAAATTATGCCTAGAAAGAAGCCAGCAAAGCATATAAGTAAGTGATGCACTGAAAAAAATTGCAAAAGCAATCGCAAAAGTGCACGAAGACGTCAGCAAAAAAATTGAAAACGAAAAATTTACTTGTAAATATTTAGTAGCAAACAGAGTCGTGAGTGATTTGTAGAATTAAAAAAAAAAAGAAAACTTATGAAACCGAAATGTAAAATGAAAATAGTAGCAATATTTAGAACGACTCGCTCGCTTTTTGTTTGCACACTTTTTGTTGCAAAATAATTTTATTTTAGCTAAATTTTAAAGAGCAAGATAAGATACTACCGAATTTAAGAGCAGCATAATGAGTAAAAATGTTAAGCATAAACAATTAATGAAAGTAATCAGTAAAGTAAAATTATTTAATATGCAGTAATTAAAAAATAAAATAAAAGCAAAAATGAAAACCAAGTGATTTAGCGCACTCAAACACTATTACAGGTAAGATTTTATATAATATTATGCACCGAACGGCATACATAAAAAATATACGTATATACACCAGCGCGTGAAATAAAAGCAGCAATGTTAAAATTAATGAAAAAAACATAAAAAGTAATATTAAAGAATTGAAAATGAAAATTGAAAGAAGTTAAAATAAAAAAAAAATTAAATAAAAAATTTCCTTTCCAAAAAACGAAAAATTGTGTACACCGCGACTTTTGCAACAAAAACAACTGACTTAAACTCAAAATTTTACGAATGCAAATCACATTTCACTATTTAAACTCATTTGTATACATATTGAAACACATTGGCAACCCTACTCACCTACCTACATACTATACTTTAAAATTTCTGTAAAATTCTGTGGACTAAACTGCACTTTTTTGCAAAAGCTCAAAAAACGCATGTCGACAAATGATGAAAAAACATTACAAAAATTTTCTAATTAAAAAAAAAAAAATTGAAAAACTCAAAAACCAATCAGTAAATGCTTATAAAACCATTTTTACAAATTTCAATATCTGAAACAACGGTATTCGAAGACAACAAAAAAATAACGTTTCAAATAAAACATAAAATTTCAAAATTTTGAACATCGTTTAGCTCTTCATAATTGCCCGTAATTCAGTGTTCAGAAAGTGTGAAACAAATAATTAGAGAGCTCTAAATTTTTTATTTAAATGTACAATTAAGTTTTCCATACACGTATTACATTTAAAATGTAAATGAAATCTAAAAAAATTTCTTGCTTACCTAAAAATTTTGTATTCATTTTAAAATGTCTATAAAATTCCAATCACTCTAAAATTCACCACAAAACCAACCATCATATTATTTAGATACATTAAATAATGTGCCGAAAAACTGAAATCAAAAGTTTTGAAACTCTCCAAAAAAGTCTCCAAATGTTTATAATAACATATTTAGCGGGAAACTGCAAAATTGAAATCAAAACTGCAAACAAAATTTTCCAAACTCTCCGAATAGTTGAAAAAACTTTTCAAACTCTCCAATATTTTTTTTGAATGTTTTAACGATTTCAAAAGTATTTTCGAAACTAAATATAAAGATGTGCTGGGTAACTTTCTAATAATTTTTGAATAGTTACAGAATTGATGTCGACAAAAAGTCTACAAAATATAATTTTTTTGTCCAAAAGCGTTTTTGAGAATTGTTCATCGTTCACCACAAAATTTAATGTTTCTGTGTGCAAAAAATTTTATATACTTTTTTTTATAGAAATGCGTATTCCGAAAGTATATACGTTTTCCTAAACTTCAAAACCGGTCAGTGGTACGAAAAAAAATTCACCTAAATATATTCAAAATCGTTCGTTGAAAAAACTTATACGCGTAACATTAGTAGATAAGGTTGTACATTTCCTGTATTTACAAATCACTTTTTATATAAAACGATCTCCTGCACTGTAAATAGACCTAGTTGTATACATACATTTGTATATCTCACTACACTGAAGAAAATTAGCAAATACAAACTACTTAGAAAACGCATGCTAAACTGTCTGAAAATACCTTTGAGAGTGTCCTTGCTGCATTAGAGCCCCTTAACGTACATACATACATAAATATATAATACATAACTATATACGCAAGTATAAAGAATTTTCAAAGTAACAAAAGACTAAAAAATTCGCACACACTGAGAAAAATTGCAACGTTTCCTTTCCGAATACATTTGACACACACTGTAAATAAATACAAATCAATAAAAATTTAAGTTAAGAGAATAAGACGCTACAGCTATTGTTAAAAACGAAACAGAAATTTACGAAGCATACAGTGCGTACGCAAAGTACGCTGGTTATATTTTCATCAATGATTTGTGATCAAAACATGAAAAAAAAGTAAAAAAATGTCTGAAAAAGTAAAACTAAAATGATTCATTTAAATAATTAATTTTTGAAAAACTGTATTTGTAACATAGTTATTTTCGATTAAGTTTTTACGTTTGGCAAACCTAACAGGATTTTTATGAAATATTTTTTATTTATATTTTTTACGAGAATTTAAATATAGGTATAAGGACTAAGTACGAGTTTTAAGTTGAGCGTGTTTTGCGAGTAAAAAATTAAGCATGTTCCTTTGCTTTTATTAGCTGGAAAAAAGAAAAAAATATTATATAAAATTTCAGAGTAGTGGGGCAACACCACAACATTAAATAGCGGTAGTCAACGCGCATTGTAAACAAGCATCTGTAGTTTGAGCAGGTAAGCCTAGCGACAAGCTTAATATTAAGTGAACTTTTACATAATTGTAGACAAAAAGAAAGTAGCAAAAACAATAGATTTGGTTTAAGTAAAAATTATGAAATATTTTAACGCTGAAATAGTAAAAGTAATAGGTTTAAAAATAAGAACTGAATGCGTGCAAAACACGCAATGGTACATAATAGACTACAATCAAGCAGTTCACAGCCCGTTTTCACACATACTAAACACACAGACGCAGTAACACAGTAAGCTAGAAAAGTACGTATGCATAGGCTTACAGTAGAACAAGATTGGTATAAAAGCAATTAGAAAATCTGTTGTAAGTGTAGATTTTTAAAAGTTGTCGTAAGTAATTTTAAATAACGATAGATATGTTTACGATGTGGCAACATTGTTTGCACGATATTTACCTTTGTTAGAGTTTCAAATTTAAAAAAAATTTTATGTGAACAAAATTTATGGAAAACATAGAAATTAACGTAAATTTCTCAAAACTAAACTGGAAAACATTTAATTTTCTTTGATGGTTTTGTTTTAAATGTTTTATGTGTTTCTGACTGCAGTTTTTGTAAAATATAGCTTATTAACTAATTGAAATGTATAATTTTTAATTTGAATTTAAAACTCTACATGTTTGATTTTCAACAAAACATCATTAAAATACACGTATGTATGTATGTATAAAATTCCCAAAAAATTTTTTAAAAAAAAAAAAATGTTTTTTATGAGCAATGTATCTAGTTTTAATTTCATAATATTATTCCAAAAATTTTGCTTGATTTTATACAAATTTGAAACTCTACACGGTTTTGTTTTTTAAATTTAATTGTATGTAACTCAAATTTAGATACAGTTATAAAATTTTTATTTGAACTCAAAAGTATTTGCCTGATTTTATATAAATTAAAACACACAGCTTTTTTTCTTCAAAAATTGCAACCATTTAATTATTATATAAATTAAAACACACAGCTTTTTTTCTTCAAAAATTGCAACCATTTAATTAAATTCAGTTACAGAACTGTTTGAAAATAATAATTACAAAAACTCGAAACTCTACAAAATTTTTTTCATCTCTCTAATTAACGAAACAAGTCAAAATTAAATTCAATGCTCTATAAATTCTATTTCTATCTATATCTCCGAAATTAAAAAACTCTACACAAAATTTTCATCTCTCCAATGAACGAAATAAGTCGAAAGCGAATTCGAAGCTTTACAAATTTTAATCAATATCTCCAAAAATTAATTATCTTGCAACTCTATAAAGAACTACTCAACGACACTGTTGAAATCTATTAAAATTGTGTTAAAAAAATTACTGTGCATGTGTCTACGCTTACTCATGACATTTTTTATTTGAAACGTACCAAACGCGCTTGCCTAAGCTTTCCACGCTCATATAAAAAAAAAATTTTAAACTTTTCAAAATATTTTTAACGCAAAAAATTATATTCAAAACATGTTCGAAATATATTTATGTGTAGAATTATTGTTTTTCATGCTTAAAATTTAAACCAAATTTTTTTTTTTTTTTATGTTATTTTTTTCCATTTTTTTTAACTCCTGCTTAAATTAAGCGATTTTTGGAAAAAATCCAGTTCCTCTAAATATTTTTTTTTTACTTTTTTATTTCAAAACCAATGCCTATCACTTGATAATAATTTAGTAATAGTTTATATATACGTATAAACATACCTACACATTATATAATATATAAAATTCAACCAACTCACAAGACTTGTAAAAATTAGCCATTAAGTTGTATTTGTAATTTGTAAAAAGTAATTCAAATAAATATTATAAGAAAATTGCGTATTTAATTATATTTATATTATATGTATGTGTATTTTTTTCACACTCTGTGTACACTGTAAAAAGTTGTATATTTGAAAGAAACTAATAAATATTAAGAAAACAAAAAACCACTTTGTATAGCAAGCTTATAAAATTAGAACAAAGTAGAAAAAAATAATTTCTATTTCTGAAGAATTTCTTACTTCGAAAATTTTTATGGCATAAAATATTTAAATTTTTTTTTGAAAAATCTATTTGCGACTTTTGCACTT